GGTGCAGCACGTACTCAAACGTTGAAAAACGAGGAAAATCGGCTTTAAAAGCTGTTTTTTTCTATCAATAAACGTTTTCTATTCGCAATGCGAATCACTTCACCAGATAGAACGTGAAAAGGCGCGTCGAATGCATATCTTGTTGTCTTTTGTTGATATGATTTTATGGGGGAAAAGTGGTTTACAAAAACGGCCTACTTTTCGGAAAAAAGGAGAGTTTTAAATATCTTCCTGAGAACGTGGTTAACATTTCGGAACTTTTTGTCCGCTAGTGATTTTGTAGCTCTGTACATATAGAAGTTAATAGGCCACCCTGCCATTGCTTTAAAATTTTTTAAACGTGATATTCGTCACCAGGAGGCCGAGTTATACTAGTCCTGTTACTCTTGAATAATTCGGACAAAGTCGATGTAAACTCTGGTACGCTTTCAAAATAATCACCCAGAACCTACCATCAAGTATTGAGACTCTTTATCACCTGTTTAGAGTAAAATTGCTTGAATATAAAGAAGGGCGCGTTTGTAACATGTAAACTATCCCTGACCCTGCATTACCAAGGTAAAAATTATAATAGAAACACAAGAAGACAATGATGTTATAGAATTGTATTTCAAACACCTTTTATTGTCTCATTTTCTTATGTTTTTATTATATTACACAAAGCACGTACAACAGATATACACTCTTTACAATAATAGAAACTCTTTGTTTACAAAAACAAAACATGATGATATACTTCGTTAACAATGAATGGCCTTATTGTCAAGAACATCTTTTTGTCTGGAAAGATCAAGTTCGTATGCTCAATCGTAGCTTCGTGCAAGGAGTAATTTTGTGTTTTGATAGTTTAAGTTTCAGAATGATATAATGGAAATTTATATTCTCGATTCCGTTTTGGTTCAAGATTAAAGCCTAAAACAATATGATCTCGTAATGCTCTGCTTTAAACAGCTCTATTTTGTTCATTATCTGCTTACAGTGGATGACTTAATCTAGTACCTTCAACTGACGAAGGAACCTTCCGTGGTGATTAAAAGCTTTTTGGTCGACATCTAGTGGGTTATAGGTTATCGACCATGCTGATTCCGAATATGATCATGGGACTGGCTCACAACTCTTCGAAGATCCAGTCTTCTGGAAAACCAGTTTTTCAGAAATCCCAAAAAATAACCCAAGCCTTTCTTAATAATGCAGGATTGTAGCGCGCAAATTTCTGATTAAAATGATACATCCCCAGCTCTACACGACCTTTCTTTCCAAAGTTATAGAATTTATAAGAAGAGCCTTAAATTGTTCATTGTCAGCTCAAAGCTACAGAAATAAGAAGAAATTAATTTAGGGCTCTTCTTATAAATTCTATAACTTTGCAAAGAAAGGTCGTGCAATAAAGGAAACCTTGACATTTTTTCTGGTATAGCATTGCAGCATTTCCTATAGATCGCAAAATGTCATGTTGCATAGTTCAACATCTAAAAGCTGTGTTTGCTAATAGAGGTCGTAGAAGTGCATTAGAACTAATCTATATTAAAAAGTTCAATGCTAAAAATAGAATATAAGGAATTCGTCGGCTACTAGTATCCTAGGTAAGATTTCATCTGATTGAACTACAGAATCATCAGAATAAATTAAACTCTGTTGATTAAAACCTTATTCATCTACAATACAACTGTCCGTAATACAAAGGATGCTTATGCCGATTGACATGTCAATCGCTTTTCTTTAAAAATAATCGTCATTGAGGTGTCGAGATTCTTTGTTCTCAGCCCGTACACATCACAAATCAATACGTCTTCGTTTTCTACCTATGAATGGCTAGAAAGAAAAAAATATTTAGTAAGCCACATGATACTATCTACCGCAAAACCAAGTCGTTGATGCCCTTGACTCATTCATTGAAACATGTATGCACAAACGCGCCTGGTTTAAGATCGTTATTGTGAGCCACCACACGTTCTGTGCATTTCTATTTGCTTCGCGAAATCTGAAGATAATCTATGAAAAAAGATTACAAAAGAGAGAGAAAAAAAAGGTTCCTTCTGTGGCTTGGTTGAATGATTTTTATCTCCTATATAATAATGAGAGTTACTGTAGTTAGCTATATCATACATTTATTTAAACATTTACCAGTAAAGTAAGATAATCAACTGCAAGTAAAATCACAAGATGGCTGATGCACTATTTCAACAAGCCGATACAAACAAAGATAATCGATTAGATTTAAACGAATTTCGTAATCTCGTCTCTTCCAGTGGACAAGGTGGAGGAAGTTATGGATCATCTAGTTTCTCAAGTGGCGGATACGGGGCCGATGCTTCTCTAGCTGGATTAGGTGGAGCTGGTGGTGGATACAGTTCGTACTCATCAAGCTCAAGCTTTGATAGTGGTGCTGCCGGATTAGGAGGAGGTGCTGATCTCTCTGGTTTGGCAGCGGGGGGTGGTTACGGTTCATCATTTGAATCATCCAGCTATTCATCCGGAGCAGGAGTAGATGTTGCAGGTTTGGCAGGAGGTGCTGGTGGGGCATATGGAGCTGAGTATTCAGCAGTGAGCGGTGGTGCAGGTGGATTGTTGCAAGGTGGAAGTTATTCAACTGAAAGTACATCAGTTCAACGATACGCAACAGATGCTCAAGGATTATTTCAAGATTCAAATCCACAAATAATTCGTAAACCGGCACCAGGTGGCGGTGTCACATACAAACAAAACATCCTAGTTCGATTCTTACAACCACCACCCGTTCCACCACGGATTGCTTTATATATTACACACATCAAACTGAGGGATCAAAAGTGAGTGCTAGACCGTTTAGTTATCCACATTGTAAATGTTCAACGTTATAGACGAACAGTCTAAACCAGGCCCATTGATCATCAAAGAAGTTCGACCACCACAGCCACCAGCGCCACCACCGCTCGTTGTGCGTCAACGCGCCCCAGCACCACCACAAGTAAGTCTAGTAGTTCTTCAAAACACATATCCAACTCTAA